AGAGGTTCAGTCCATCATCATCATGGCAGGGAGCATGGCGGCATGCAGGCAGATGCGGTGCTGGCTACATCTTTATCAGAAGGCAACAGGAAGTCAACTGAGACACTGGGTGTTATCTTGAGCATAGGAAACCTCAAAGCCTGCTCCCCTAGTGACACACTTTCTCCAACAAGACCACATCTCCTAATAGTGCCACTCCCTATGTGCTTATGGGGGCCAATTACATTCAAACTACATGTGTATATGTATAAATATGTGCACACATGTGTATGTATGTATGTATATATGTATATGTGTGCATAGATGTATATGTATTTATGTGTGCATATATATGTACATGTGTGCCTGTGTCTGATGCTCTTTACCTCTTGTCCCTCTGGGACTGTCTTTGTTTACACTGCCCCCTCCTACCTTTTTGAACTCAGAGATCCTCCTGCCTCTGCCTCCCAAGTGCTGGGATTAAAGGTGTCTTCCTTATTTTTTAAACTTCAGAGTGTGTGTGTGTGTGTGTGTGTGTGTGTGTGTGTGTGTGTTTCTGTGATGCACCTGTGTGGGCCTGCAGGACACACCTGGAGGTCAAAGGGCAGCAGTGAGTTCTCTCTTCCCACCTTCACATGGCTTCCAGGGTCCAAACGGGGACACTGGACTTGAGCAACAAGCACTTCCGTGCCTTGAGACATACGCTTGCCCCTCTGGGCTTTTAAATTACATTATTTATTACCGTGTGTGTGTGTGTGTGTGTGTGTGTGTGTGTGTGTGTGTGTGTGTAGGCCGGAAGGGGCGTCCATAACCTCTTCCATCATTCTGCTCCTCCGATCCCTCCCTTCCAGAACCTGGGGCTGACCTCTCACCTGCACAGCAAGCAGTCCCCAGCAGTCCTGTCTTTCCTGCTCAGAGCTGGGGTGAGTGGAGTTTGTGGATGCACCTGGCTTGTTTTACGAGTACCGGGATCTGAACTTTGTCCTCAAGATGACCCAACAGGGTTCTTAACCAAGAGCCCTCTCTCCAGCCTCCCCACCTTGCTTTTTTGAGACAGGGTCTGTCACTGAGCCTGGTAACAGGCTGGCTGGCTAGTGAGCCCAGGATCCTCCTGTCTTCGCCTCCCCAGTGCTAGGGGTACAGCCACCGTGCCCAACATTCACGTGGAACCCTCAGGGCAGGTACCAACCATCTCCCAGCAATGCCCTTGTACTCCTCATCCTCTTGCCTCCACATCCCAAGTGCTGGAATGATCGGCATGTGCCAGCAGGCCCAACAAGCCCTTCTCTTTTTTAAAATTTAATTTTATCTTTAAAAAAAAGACTCTTAAGAATATTATGGATGTGCGTGTGTGTCTGTGTATGTGCACATGAGTACACTGCCCTCAGAGCCCAGAAGGGGACATCTGATTCCCCCCCCTCTCTCTCACACACACACACACACACACACACACACACACACACACACACACACACACACACACCTGCAGCTGGAGTTACAGGCGACTGAGAGCAGCTGGGTTCAGTTTCCAGATCTTCTGCAAGAGCAGACAGTGATCTTAACCACTGAGCCATCTCTCAACCCTTAGTTTATTTTTAAGCACTTCTCTGGGTTGGAGAGATGGCTCAGCGGTTAGGAGCACTGGCTGCTCTTCCAGAGGACCTGGGTTCAATTCCAGCACCCACATGTCAGCTCACAACTGTCTGTAACTCCAGTTGCAGGGGATCTGACCCCCTCACACAGACATACATGCAGGCAAAACACAAATGCACATAAAAGTAAAATTTAAAAAAAAAAAAAAACTTAAAAAAAAAGTTCTTGCTATGTAGCCCAGGCTGGCCTGGAATCCAGTGATCCTCCTGCCTCATCCTCCTGGGTGCTGAGCTGACAGGCAGGTGCCCTCCTGAGACTCAGACATTAGGAAAGAGTAGAAAGGGAACAATGCCCAGCCATTCCTCCCCCCCGGGCACCACGCAGCAATCAGGCCAACACACCCAGAACCTTTGAACTTGACCATCAGCCAGAAATCCCAGCTGATACCAGGCGTGGTGGCACACACCTGTTCCAACTCTGTAGGTGGAGGCAGGAGGATCAGGAATTCAAGGTCGTCCACAGCTAGGTAGAGTGAGGAGACCCAGTCCAGGTGGCCGGGCTCTATTCGTTTTCTTTCCTCTCCTTTGCTTTATTCACTGTGTGTGGATGCACCAGGACGCGTGTGGCAGTCCAAGGACAACTGAAGGAAACTGGTCCTGTCCTTCCACCTCTCAAACCTGGGACAAATGGCTGAGATGCCTATTTACCATATCAAAGCTGGACCTGGCCTTCAGGCTCTCCCAGCATCCCTCAATCCCTGCCTGTTTCAGGGTATGGATGGCATACCTCACCCGCTACCTGAACCCTCCTGCCCAGGGGCTGGGCTGTCCTTCCCCCAGAGCCTCTTCCATAAATAGCTGAGACATTTTGGTCACCCTTGCCTTTTGGACCTTTGGCCTCCTGGCTGCTGCACCTGGCTCCCGTCCTCCCTCCTCACATGGCTCAGGGTCATGTCCACTCTGCCGGTGTCCACCTCCAGCTGTGCTCTCCCACACATCTACAACAAACTTTCTCCTCCGCCATATCTAGGAGCAGCCATGTCCTTTCCTGTCCTTTTGACTTCTTCTTTCCCCGTTCAGGTCCTGGGGATGAACTCGGGTCCTCAGGCTTACCAGCTGAGGCCTGTTGCCCGATCTTGACTAGATTTGATAGGACAGTCTTCTCCAAATAACTCACAAACTGGACACACTTTAGAAGGTGATTCGATGGAACACGGTGCAACGACACACACCTGCCATCCCAGCACTTTAAGGCCATCCCAGGCTATGGAGCCCATAGCAGGCCAGCCTGAGCTACATTAGACTGTCTCCGAAGGGCATAAAAACTAAGGAGAGAGCCAGGCGGTGGTGGCTCACGCCTTTAATCCCAGCACTCGGGAGGCAGAGGCAGGCGGATCTCTGTGAGTTCGAGGCCAGCCTGGTCTACAGAGCAAGTTCCAGGACACAGGGCTACACAGAGAAACCCTGTCTCAAAAGAACCAAACCAACCAAACAATAACAAAAAACAACCAACCAAACTAGAGGGCATGGGAGGGTCATAAACCATCTGGGGTGGCAGCAGCCTCCCAGCTCCTGCACCTTCTACAACTGCACAACCTTCTGAACAATCACATGTGGTCTCTGAGTACAAGGGGACAGGCATAAGAGGTCAGAAGTCAAAGTGTTGTGCAGGACTCCATATACCAAGTTTTTAGAGGCTGGTCACCTGTGTTGTGTGGGGCTCCTGCCATGCTCCTGTGAGTGACCCAATAAACTCCCTGTTCACCAAGACAGACTGAGGTGGGGCAGTTTCCAGGTGTCCTGTGCAAGGTGAGTGACGTGTATTCACATCTCACAGAGAAAAGTTCAGGCGACAACTTTCTTCTTCCTTTTTCTTCCTTTCCTTTCCCCCACCCTATCCCTCCTGCTTCTCCTGTTGCCCAGGCTGGCCTCAAACTCACTAAGTAGCTAAGGCTGCCCTTCAACTCCTGGCCCGCCTGCCTCCACCTCCTGAGTGTGCCGCCGGACGGCAGATCTGAGCCACAGGCCTGCCAAGACGGCTGTGGCGGTGATGGCTGTCTTGCCATGATGGCTGTTCCCACAGGGATGAGCCAACGCCCACTGGTGCTGTTATGTAATTCTACTTTCAAAATCAAAGAGTTGGTGCTATTGACATCTGTAGATTTTAATCTGGTTTTGATCTGGTTTGAATAGCCTTGACCTGGATTCCTTCGGGTTTGCCCTCCTTTCCCTGTGTGTAAATCACTCAGCTATCATGGGCTTAGTTACCAGATTCCAAAGGAAAGACAGTGGCGGCTCCTGTCTGTCATCCTAGGCCTCAGGAAAGAGGCTCTGGAATTGGAAGTCAGCCTTGGCAACAGTAAATTCCAGGCCAGCCTGGGCTACAGGAGACCCTGTTTCAGACAAAAATCACCAAAAAAGGAAACGTCATAACCCTTTGAAGAGCAGAAGGGGATTCCGACCCCTCCACACCCCTCAGAACTTCAGCTTGTTTGGAAAGGATTATGAGGAAAAGTATGGTTACTGCATTCTAGAAAGATCCAATGGTCTGACAAAGGCTTTTTGTCTTAAACAGTTCATAAGTGAAAAGGAATAAGACCTATTAGCAGCGAGCCTGGCTTGGTGCTGCATGCCCACCCTCTCAGTAGTCCTGAGGCTGAGGGAGGTGGATTGCCATGAACTCCGGGCCAGCCTGGGCTACAGAGTGAGACCTTCAGTTCCCTGAGGTTTGAATAGTGACATTCTGAGAGTGCAGAGGTGGTACAGCAGTTGAGAGCACTTGCTGGTTCCACGCGGGCCTGGGTTTGGTTCCCAGCACCCGCCTCAGGTGGCTCACAACCCTCTGCACTTTCAGCTCCAGGGATCTAACACACCTTTCTGCTCCTTGCACATCCCCACACCCCCACAATTAAAAATAATAACAATAAACCTTCAAATCAACAAAATACAGTTGTTTTGTTATTGCCTTTTTTTTTTTTTTGAGACTATTTAGCCCTGGCTGGCTTGGGACTCACAATATAAACCAGGCTGGCCTTGAACTCATCAAGATCCTCCTGCCTCTGCCTCCTGAGTGCTGGGATTAAAGATGTGTTCCACAAATTGGGGTATGGTGGTGCACACCTTTAGTCCTAGCATTTGAAAGGCAGAGCCAGACAGATCTCTGAGTTGAGCACAGCCTGGTCTACATAAGTGAGTTCTAAGGGGGGGGGGGGGGGCAGCCAGGCCATGGTGGCACATGCCTTTAATTCCAGAAGAGGCAGGCGGATCTGAGTTCAAAGCCAGTCTGGTCTACAGAGTGCGTTCCAGGACAGCCAGGGCTACACAAAGAAATCCTGTCTCGAAAAAACAAAAAGAAACAAAAAAAAAAAAGAAAGAAAAAAAAAGGAAAGAAAAAGAAAAAGGAAAAAATGTGTATCACCATGCCCTGGCTTGTTTTAACTGTTTCTGTTTTATTTTTTAACAATTCCATACATTTATGTGAAGTATTTTACTCAGATCCATTCCTGTTCCTCCCAACACTCCAGCAGAGCTCCCCCAACCAGGTTAAAGGCCTATGCCACCACCGCCCGGCTTCAAGTCCTTTTTTGTAACCTACCGAGACCAGTTACTGCGGCCTGCTGGAATACTGACTGATCTTGCTGCCCCGATCTTGTCCAGGCAGCCACGGCTGCCGTGAGGTCAGGAGTGTCCATGAGACAACATTTCACAGCCCTTGTCCCACCCTCCAGCTCTTCCATGAATTTCCCCGAGCCTGGAGGGGCCGTGGTGCTGTAAGAGCCCACTCAGGGCCGAGCACTTGCAGCTGCTGCTTTCCCTGCACTCTGACTTGTGAGTCCCTGAGAGCATGAACATTCCGAAGGGCAGTTTCACATTCAGCAAGCAATGAGAGGTAAGTTTCTCTCCTTGCCTGTGACTTCCGAGCGTGGGCTCTGGTCCGCTCACAGCACCAAGCATGGTTCCCCCCTGTAGAGCAACCTTGAACCCAACCAGGAGGCTGCAGGCTGCCCCCGTAGGTAGCTCCCACGCCGCTGTTGCACCAGGGTCGCCGTCCTGCCTGGGCAGAGTGGTAGCAGTCACGGTCCACAACTGGCTAAGACCACTGATGTCTTCTCTCCCGCAACAGACTGAATGTCACCTTCTGGCACTCTGAGACCGGACTGGCAGGGAGGAAGCCCCCAGATCAGTTCCAGCCTGACTTCTCCATCCTGCAACTGAGTCCTGTCACCTGATTATGGTGGGCAAAGCCATGGCAGGAGCCTGTGTTGTTTGGAGAGCTCCGGGAGGAAACATTTCCGGCCTTTGATGTTCATTTCTGGCCTTTGTGCGAAATTTAAATGCAGGTCCCCAGGTACCAAAATGTATCTTCCTCAGGGAACAAGAGGCTACCCAGGAAATGTTTCAGGAATCCTGGGACACACCAGAGACTCTTGTTCTACAGGCAAGGACACTGGGATTCAGGAATTCAGCAGCTTGCCTCCGTCTATGATTTGCTAGCCATTTCGCCTAAAATAAATTGCTTAACATCTCTGGGCTTCATTTTTCTTTTAGTAACTTGGAGATGAAGTAGTTCCTGTTTCTTGGGGTGGCTAAGGATATTATATAAGATAATATGGGGCTGGGGCATGGCTCAAAGATAGAAGCAAGGCCCCACCGAGAATTCTCCAGTGAGAGGCTGGGGGCGTGGTCATGGTGGAGCCCCGCCCAGACTCCCCTAGTGAGGGGCTGGGGGCGTAGTCAGGGTGGAGCCCCGCCTAGAATGCCCCAGTGAGGGTCTGGGGGCGTGGCCAGGGTGGAGCCCTGCCTAGGATCCCCAGTGAGGGGCTGGGGGCGTGGTCAGGGTGAAGGCCCGCCTAGAATCCCCCAGTGAGGGGCTGGGGGCGTGGTCAGGGTGGAGCCCCGCCTAGAATCCCCAGTGAGGGGCTGGGGGCGTGGTCAGGGTGGAGCCCCGCCTAGAATCCCCCAGTGAGGGGCTGGGGGCGTGGTCAGGGTGAAGCCCCGCCTAGAATCCCCAGTGAGGGGCTGGGGGCGTGGTCAGGGTGAAGCCCCGCCTAGAATCCCCAGTGAGGGGCTGGGGGGCGTGGTCAGGGTGGAGCCCCGCCTAGAATCCCCAGTGAGGGGCTGGGGGGCGTGGTCAGGGTGAAGCCCCGCCTAGAATCCCCAGTGAGGGGCTGGGGGCGTGGTCAGGGTGGAGCCCCGCCTAGAATCCCCAGTGAGGGGCTGGGGGCGTGGTCAGGGTGGAGCCCCGCCTAGAATCCCCCAGTGAGGGGCTGGGGGCGTGGTCAGGGTGAAGCCCCGCCTAGAATCCCCAGTGAGGGGCTGGGGGGCAAGGTTTGCCTTTGGGAATGGAGATGAACCACTGTGTAGAATGTCTTCTTATGAAGCTCTTGTTCTACACACATAAAAGACAAAACCAAAAAGATCAATCAGTGCAACTTCCTGAAGTAATAGTTACATCAGGCAACAGTTAATTGGGAAAGTTCCAGAATGTGCCTGGGGTGGAAGCAAAGGCAGTTTCTGCACACATGATGTCTCAGCCTGATATGGGTGTGTTGTGAAAGAGCTTAGCACAGGGCAGAGGGGAGCCCCATGTAAAAGGAGGTGTGGCTACTGGAGTCAGGTGCATAGGTGACTGACAGGGAGCCATGATGTCAGGTGCTGGATGGCTCAGTCTCATCTCTTTCAAGGACTTCCAGCTGCTGGGTGAGGAAGCAGCGTGGGCACAGGCTAGGCTGGAGGACAATGGAGGTGTGGCCCTGGAGGGAGTTAATGGGACCTGAGCCTGGCGGCGGCAGCTCAAGATGAAGGACCGTGCATCTGACTGTCCACCTACCCCCAAGTCCCGCTTGGAACGGGACAATAAAGGTGAAAAGTTTCTGCACACCGATCACCCTCTCTGCCGACGCAGCAATCCAAATCAGACCAAATTAGAAAAAGCCCCCGTTTGGTGGGTAAAGCACTCCTGGATGATTTTTCCGGCCACCCACAGAGGAGACGGGGAACAGAGACCAAAACACCACGTGTCTGTCTGCCGGGGTACAGTTTAAATACCCTGTGGGCGTGGCCTTGAGCATCTCTGGGGGAGGAGCTGTGTTTCGGGGGCTTGAGACAGAGCAGGGATTCGGGAGAAAGAGGTGAGGGAGGGGAGCTGAGGTGGAGCTTCCACCAGGACAAAGGGGACGTTCCTGGAATACCGAGTACCCTCTGAGAACGAATACAGGTTTGGCGAACATCCGGTGCCTCCGGCAAGATTCAGGCCTCCTGTTCTGGGGTCCCTCGAGGTCTCCAAGAGCCTCAACGCCCCCAACTCCCTAAGCTGCATTGTTCAATAAATTCCTCAGCGAATCCTGAGCTCTACTTCCGGTATAAATCCCACTCCCTTTTTTCGAGAGCCTATACCCGGGAGTCAATGGCGCAAAGCACCTGGGAATTGTAGTTTCGGAAGACAGACAGGCGGCAGGCCAGCACGAGCACCTGAAGATTGCTGCGGGAGCAATGGTGGCGGACAGGTGTCTCACCTGAGGCCTAGCCTCACCCCGCCGTGCGCTGCTTCCCGCGTGGACGCCGGGGAACGGAGAGGCCCCGAGCAGGAACCTGCATGGGACGGAGACGTGGGATTCCCCTATTCATTCGAACGCCTACTTCCGGTGAAGACACGGCCCACAGACTTACTCCCGCCTTCTGCGGTCCCGCCCACTCGGCTCCCGGAAGTGGGCGAGCGAGCGCTCCCGCAAAGCACGCCGGGAGTTGTAGTTCCGGAAGCCAAGTCAGTGCGCGCGGCGGCATGTGGCCCCGAGTGCTGCTGGGGGAGGCCCGGGTGGCTGCGGGCGGATATGGTGCTGTCTTGTCTCGCTTTGCCGTGCGTTTCTCCCCGCCATGTACTGCTGGGAGCGGCTCACCCCTGCAGAGGAGCCTGCATGGAACTGCTACGCGAGCTTTCCCGCTCATCCCTATAGTTGTGGAACAGACGGTACGGGGGCCTGGTGGGGACATGGTGTCGAGGCTTGAAGGGCGGAGGGCCGCGTGCAAGGGTCGCTGACCTTTCACCTCCGTTCTTTTCCCACCAGGGTCGAGGCGAGCGCGCTTATGACATATACTCGAGGCTCTTGCGGGAACGCATCGTGTGCGTCATGGGCCCGGTGAGCGACCCCGGTGCGCTCTGGAGACACCTAGCTGTCTCCAACATTTCTCCCCTGGTCAAGCTCTGTGCCCCACCCCCCTCTCCCTCGTCCCTGGTGACCTCCTAGACCCTAGTCCTTGACCTTAAACATTCATTTTCATTTGAGCCAAACTCTTGCTATGTAGTCCAGGCCAGTTTCCACCATGCCGTGCCAGCTTCCCAAATGTTGGGTTTCACGTGTGCATCACCACCGTAGACTGCTGTTGGCAGCCAGTCTTTGTTTTGAAGTCTTCTGAGACAGGGTCTCAGGGTGGCCTTGAAATCCCTATGTAGCTGAGGACGACATTTAGGGCTGGGATGAAGGTGTATCACCACACCAGGTTTATGCAGTGCTGGCGCTGGAACTCAGCGCTAACATTCTGCCCACTGAGTCACAGCCCCGGTCAGCTCGTTGGTTTTTTGAGATCTGGTCTTTGAACCCCACCCAATGCTCTTGTCTCCAATTCCCAAGTGCTGGGATGACTGGTGTGTACCACCACACCAGGTCTGGGCAGTGCTTGAACCCAGGACCTTGAGCATGCTAGGGGATCACTCTGCACTGGTCTGGACCGCCACACCAGGTCTGGGCAGTGCTTGAACTCAGATCCCCGAGCATGCTAGGTAAGCACTCTACCTGCTACACTACATCCCAGCCCTGTCCTCAGCTTATTGGCTTCCAGTGTCTGGGGCTCCTGACCACCCCTTCCTATGCTCAAATTCGGGTTCCTGGCTCCGTAAGCCTCCATCTAGCCCACCTTCAACCTGGGGACAACTGTGCCCTCCCCACCCACAGATTGATGACAGTGTCGCCAGCCTGGTCATCGCCCAGCTGCTGTTCTTACAGTCTGAAAGCAACAAGAAACCCATTCACATGTACATCAACAGCCCAGGTGAGCAGGGCCTGACCTGGTTGTGGGGTCGGGAATATCCCCTCTCTGGAGAATAGATGTGAAGCAGCTTTCCGCAGAATCTAAAATTTAAGATCGCTCCAAGCATGGCAGGGTGGCACGTGCCTTTAATTCTTGCACTTGGGAAGCAGAGGCAGGCAGATCTCTGAGTTCTCGGACAGCCAGGGCTACACAGAAATTTAGGATTTTTAGCCAGGTGTGGTGGTGTACACCTTTAATCCCAGCATTAAGTAGGCAGAGGCAGGCAGATCTCTAGAGGCCAGCCTGGTCTACAAAGTGAGTTCTAGGACAGCCAGGGCTACACAGAGAAACCCCGTCTTGGGAAAAAACAAAGAACTAATTAATTGATTAATTGAAATCTCTCCAAAAGGGTCTGTCACTGGTGTGGAACTTTCCAAGTATGCTAGTCTAGCTGGTCAGTGAGCCCCAAGGGTCCTCCAGTCTCCACCTCCCCAGGGCAGGGATCGCAGGCATGTGCTGCCATGTCTATTTTGGGGGTGCTGGGAGTCAACGTACAACCTGCCCTCTGTAGCCAGATTCTCTACAGTTCTCTCACTTCGGTTGGGATGGCGGGCACGAGCCACCACACTCAGCAGAAATAGTTGATTTTTAAGAAAAACATTAGGCCAGCGGTGGTGGCGCAGGCCTTTAATCCCAGCACTCGGAAGACAGAGCCAGGCGGGTCTCTGTGAGTTCAAGGCCAGCCTGGTCTACAGAGTGAGATCCAGGAAAGGCGCAAAGCTCCACAGAGAAATCCTGTCTCGAAAAACTGAAAAAAGAAAAGAAAAGAACAACATTAGATCACATTTATTTCTATGAGTGTGTGGGTAGATGGGCTTGTGCATGCCGCTGTGTGCACACAGGGGTCAGCAGAGGACAGCCTCTGGGAGTCAGTTCCCCCCTTCCATCCTGTGGGTCCTGGGAATTGAACTCGGGTTGTCAGATGTGGTGAGGAGCACTGTTACCGGCTGGTCCTTCTCAACAGCCCAAGTTAATTAGGCTCCTCAGGCCAGATACCTCTCACAGAATGTTCCACACTGTAGACTCATTTCCCTTCTCACCAAAGCTTCGAGTGGCAGGTCAGGATGCTTACCTCTGATCTACGCAGGGCAAGTGTGCCTTAGAGAGCTGGAGTGGCTGGCCCTACGTGGTGACATACGGCCTGACCAGGGTTCATAGGCAGGAGGTGACTGGCGGAGCCTTTTGACGTGTGTGTGTGTGTGTGTGTGTTTTGTCCCATGTACATATGTGACCATAGCTGATTCTGAAGAAAGGACTCTCCTTGTGACCTGTGTCATTCCTGTCACCCCCCCCCCCCCCCATTCCCAATGACGTTTGCACTCGTAACTTGCTGGAACGGTACTGGGGTGGAGGAGGGTCCCATTAGGCCTGACTTGCTCCACGGCCTGCAGGTGGCGTGGTGACTGCGGGCCTGGCCATCTACGACACAATGCAGTATATTCTGAACCCCATCTGCACATGGTGTGTTGGACAGGCTGCCAGCATGGGCTCCCTGCTACTTGCCGCTGGCAGCCCGGGCATGCGCCACTCGCTACCCAATTCCAGAATCATGATCCACCAGCCCTCCGGAGGGGCCAGGGTGAGTATGTCCTGCAGGGATGTGGGAGGAAGTCTAGGCCACTGTTCTTTCTTTGTTGGAGACAGGGTCACTCTGTAGACCAGGCTGGTCTCTAACCCACCGAGATCTGCCTGCCGCTGCCTCCTGACTGCCACTGTTTTCATGGCTGGGAAGGTGCTCCTCAGGGGTAGAATGCCTGCTAAGCACAGGAAAGACTCTGGGTTCCATCTCCAGCACCAGAGGAAAGGATAAAAAACAAAAAACAGTTCTGGGCGTGGTGGGAGAATGCCTTTAATCCCAGCACTCAGGAGGCAGAGGCAGGCGGATCTCTTGAGTTTGAGGCCAGCCTGGGCTACAGAGCGAGTTCCAGGACAGCCATTGCTATAGAGAGAGACTGTTACAAAACAAAAGAAAAGTGAAGTAAAACAAAAATAGATCAATGGGATGGAAACACACGCAGAAACTGCAGGGCCGAAGCACAGGGATGGCTTCCTCTAGCATCCTGTCAGGGAACTCCTCCAGTTCTAGGCTTCATCTTCTTCCTCAACTTACCGCTCGCTTCTCAGGGCCAAGCCACAGACATCGCCATCCAGGCAGAGGAGATCATGAAGCTGAAAAAGCAGTTATATAATATCTACGCCAAACACACCAAGCAGAGCCTGCAGGTGATCGGTGAGCACCCCGCCTCATAGGGCACACTCCTGTGCGTTGGCATTGTCCTAAACCAGGGCTTCCCCACCTGGACATTCAGAGCCACATTACTATAGTGGGCTCACCCTGGACCTTGGGGGTGGGGTGTTCAGTAGAATCACTAACCTAAAATGCTCTGTGTCTGTGGCCCCTTCCAGTGCTGATAGTCAAGTGTCTCTAAAGGCTGGGGATGTGGCTGGGGGTGGAGCATCTACCTAGAATCCCCCAGTGAGGGTCTGGGGCGTGGTCAGGGTGGAGCCCCGCCTACAATCCCGCAGTGAGGGGCTGGGGGTGTGGTCAGTGTGGAGCCCTGCCTAGAATCCCCAGTGAGGGGCTGGAGGCCTTCTTGCTTTAAGTATAGATTTCTTACCAAGGGGTGGTGGTAGTGGTACATACCTTTAATCCCAGAGGCAAGCAAATCTCTGAGTTCCAGGACAGCCTGGTCTACAAAACAAGTTATAGGACGGCCAGAGCTACACAAAGAAACTGTCTCAAAAAACTAAATGAAACAAATACACATTTCTTTCCTTTCTTTGTTTCTTTTTTTTTTTTTTTTTTAAAGACAGGGTTTCACTCTGTAGCTTTGGAGCCTGTCCTGGAACTCACTTTGTAGACCAGGCTGGCCTCGAACTCACACACAGAGATCCGCCTGGCTCTGCCTCCTGAGTGCTGGGATTAAAGGCGTGCACCACCATCTCCCAACTCCTTTTTTTTTTTTTTTTTTAATAATTCATTTTATTGTTTATTATATATGTATGGGTGTTTCTCCAGCATGTCTGTATTGCATGTGTGCCTGGTGCCTGTGAGGTCACAAGAGGGTGTCAGATCCCTTCGAACCAGAATTATAAACATTTGTAAGTTGTGTGGGTGCTGAGGATTGAACCTGGGTCCTCTGCCAGAACAAGTTCTCTTAACCTCCGAGCCACTTCTCCAGCCCCGGGGATGTATTTCTGGCCTGGCAAAGTTCCTAGCCTACTGGGCAGAATTTCCAATTTTGTAAGCTGGGTGTGGTGGCACCTGCCTGTCATCCCAGCCCTGGGAGGTGGAGGCAGGAGAATCAGGAGGTCTAGACTGATGTAGAGACTATTGCAAGATTCAGTCTCAGACCAAAATAAATATATCAGCCACGAAAACTGGCTCAGCTGCTCCGTGCTGTTTTGACAGATGATATTTTGGGTGGGGGGAAGGTAGCAAGGGTTACTGGTGCTGGTGGGTGCCGGTGGGTGCTGGTGGGTACCGGCACAGTTTTCCTGGTGCCCGTGAGATTTCGTTTTTTGGGGAGCATGTGCCTTTCCACAGTGTGGAAATCAGAAGACAGTTTGTAGAAATCAGTGCTCCCTGACACCTTGTGCATTGCGGTGATTGAACTCCAGGTCATTCATTGGTGGCCAGCGCCTCCTCCTGCCAGGCAGTCTTGCTGGCCCACACACCATTCTTGGATCTATCTTGGTGCTGCTGGTCACATATGTTCAACCTAAGATTCACCACATGGCACCACGTGACCTTTTCCTGGGTGTATTTATTGGTGTGTGTGGCATGTGCGTACTGTGACTTGTAGAGGTCAGAGGGCAATGTTCAGGAGGCAATTCTCTTCCACCATGTGGGTCCTAGAACCCGAGTGTATTTGAGTAGTCAGTGAAAATTAAACCAGTGTGGCACGGTGGTGCACCCCTGTTGTCCCAGCACTTGTCAGGTGCCGGCGGGAGAATCAGGAGTCATCCTTTTGAGGCCAGCCTGGGCTACATGAGCTGCCTGAAAAAAAGAAATGTATTTCTTACTGCTGGGGAAACTGAGACACAGAGACGTTCCAAGCCCCACGGGGAAGAATTGTCAGAGTGCGTGCGTGTCTTATGTAACTCGGAGCCTGAACAAAACATGGTGGGCTGGGAGCTCAAATACTAGGAATGTGTATCTGAGTCCTGGAAGCAGGAAGGTCAGGAACAGCTGGTGCCTGGAAGGTGACCTTTGACCTTCAGACCCTGATCCTAACGGCTGCACCTTTGCTTTGCCGGAATTACAGGTGGTTCTGGGGATGGAACCAGGGCACAGTGCAGGCTAGACCAGTGCTCTATCAATTGAGCTCCTTTTTTTTTTTTAAACTCCTTGTTATGACTGGCCTTGAACTTTAGGTCCTCCTGCAGAAGCCACTTTTAATAAGGGCACAGATCCCGGGGTAGGGGTTCCATCCTCACAGCTCCATAAACCATCCTGCTACTGGTGGGGACTTCAACCTAGGAATTTGGGGAAAGCATCCCAGGTCTCTGCTCTTATCTGTATGTACTGCTTCCTCCCAGAGTCAGCCATGGAGAGGGACCGCTACATGAGCCCCATGGAGGCCCAGGAGTTTGGCATCTTGGACAAGGTCCTGGTCCACCCACCTCAGGACGGGGAGGATGAGCCGGAACTGGTACAGAAGGAGACTCCTACAGCACCGGCCGATCCTCCTGCCCCGGCGAGTACCTAGGGCCTGACCTCATCTCCAGGAATGTGGAGACCCAGGACTGCCCACACTTCCTCTGCCGAGCCCAGAGGTATCCCTGGAGAAGATGTGGATTGAGGCTGCCCTCCTGCCTGAGACACTGTGACTTTAAATTAAACCTTTATGGTCTTTGTCCCATGTCTGAGATTACGTCTCCAAATCACCAGGCCCCTCTCACCTTGACTCCATGACAAACCACTTCTTTTTTTTCTTTTCTGAGACAGGGTTTCTCTGTGTAGTCCTGGCTGTCCTGGATCTCACTCTGTAGACCAGGCTGGCCTCGAACTCAAGAGACCGCCTGCCTCTGCCTCCCGAGTGCTGGGATTCAAGCTGTGCTCCACCATGTGTGGCTGTTAGGAAACTTTTAAGCCATATACTAGCCCAAAGCCAGCAGGTAGAACTATAATTTTGTGCATTTTCAATTATGTGTGGGTTTGTGTGCATGAGTGCAGTACCCGTGGTGTCCAGAGAAGGGTGTTGGGTCCCCTGGAGCTCCCCTGTGGGTGCTGGAACTCAAGTACATCTGACCTGCTGAGTCCTGTCTGCTCCGCTGGAGAGTTAGGTAGTATGGTTGGCCGAAGGATCAACCAGGAGCAACATGGAGGAGCCACCAGTGGCATTGGACTGATCCTCAGACCCATAAGACCCAGCACTTTGCCGTGGGGTTCAAAATCAGGCTGGAGCCAGAAAGAATGATAGGGGAAATTTTTGTGGATTTTATACTAAAAATGGAAGCAGAGGATCGGGTATGTAGAAGTAGCTTAAAAGGGAAAATTGGAACAGTTTATTTGTGGGAGAAGGGCAGGTGCCAGTGTCCCTTTGGACGTCAGGGGACAACTTGCATTAGTGACTTCTCTGCTTCCACTGTGTGTGTGGGTCCTGGGGCTCAAACCAAAGCCACCAGGCTCGGGGGCAAGTGCCTTTACCTGCTGAGCCATCTTCGCGGGCCCAGGTGTGGGTTGTATTAATGGGTCTTCCTTGTTGGAACGTCGTATTTTTTTTCTGTTTGGACAGCATCTCCTGTAGTTCAGGTTGGCCTCGAACTCAAGTGTAGCCAAGGCTGACCTTGAAATTGTCTCTCGCTCTCCACCAGGGTGTGCTGGATGCAAGGCGACGGGCCTGTGCTAGCAACACCGGTTGAGCCTCTAACCTTGACTTTGCCCCACGTGACCCCAAGCCTGGGTTAGCCCAGATCCCACCTCCGGCGCGAACCTGAGATCGAATCAGGGCTCAGAGGCGGGACCAACACTGGACGGACTTGGGGCACGGCTAATGGGGTGAGCGCGCTCGTGGCCAATGGCGTGCGGTGGGGGGCGGGCTCGGGGCTGGCCCCAGCCAATGGCCGGCGGGGGCGCGGCCCGCCTCTAAGCGGCCGTCCGAAGATGGCGGGCCCCGGGCGGCTGGCGGTGCGGGCGCTCTCCGGGTGCGGCTGGGTTCGCGGCTCGGACCCCGCCGTGCTGAGCCGCCTGCGCGACGAGGCCGTGGTGCGGCCCGGCTTTCTGAGCCAGGCCGAGGAGGACACGCTGACGCGCGAACTGGAGCCCCAGCTGCGGCGCCGGCGCTACGAGTACGACCACTGGGACGCGGTGAGGGGCGGGGCCGTGTCGTGGAGGGCGAGCACGGGGCGGGACTGGGAGCCGGGCTCCGGCGGCAGCGTGCGACGGGCTGCTCCGGTGTGGGACGTGGCGGGTGCTGGGCATCTCGGGAGGGACAGAGTTCGGACGTCCTATGGGACAGGGCTGACCTTGATGCCGGAACTGGGGAGGGGGAAGGCCTGCAGCTGGGGCGTGTGAGGAGAGGGGCCTGAGCTGGGGAAGGAGAACCCGGAGGGTTGAGCTCAGAGGGACAGAGCAGTGTAGTACTCACTCGTGGGCTCGGAATCAGAAGGGAGGGCCTTGGTGGGCACCGTGGTAGGAATGGGCTGCAAGGGCAAGATCGCTTTAGACTTGAGGTTCTGCAGCTCAGGGGTGTTGACAAAGTTAAGGGTAGAAGGCTCGGGTGAGGGGGTGCCACCATTTGGGGTCTTACTAGGGTCTTGAGTGGGATTGAGTTGAGCCCAGAGACACAGACACTGAATACTGGGATGGCCAGCACCAGGGACTGGGAATTGGAGCCTGGAGACCAGATGCGGTGTTGAGACCTCGCTGAGCCGCTTAAAGGCCAAATTGTGAGTTAAAGCTGGAAAACTACTTGCCTGTGGACTCTGCCTCATTTCCTTATCCTGAAGTTCCCAGTCATGACCTGAGCTCTCTGTGCAGGCCATCCACGGCTTCAGGGAGACGGAGAAATCCCGCTGGTCTGATGCAAGCCAGGCCATCCTGCAGCGGGTTCAGGCGGCTGCCTTTGGCCCTGACCAGACCCTGCTGTCGTTGGTCCACGTATTGGACCTGGAACCTCGGGGCTACATAAAGCCCCATGTTGACAGTGTCAAGGTGGGCAGAAGGCAGACCCTCAGAACTCCCAGGCAGGATGTGGGTGGGCAGGAGGGCAGATCAGAGCCTGACCCCCCCACACACAGGTGCACACACACGCACACACACATACTGTACCCCTCTTCCAGTTCTGTGGATCCACCATCGCTGGTCTTTCTCTGCTGTCCCCAAGTGTTATGAAACTGGTGCACACCCAGGAACCTGAGCAGTGGCTGGAACTGTTGCTGGAGCCAGGCTCCCTCTACATTCTGAGGTAATGCCTTGCCAAGAAGCCCCAGATGAGGCCAAGTGCTTCTAACGCCTCTTTGTGCTCGCACAGCAGAGGAAACTGCTGCCACCACTCAGAAAAAGTATAGAAATGCTAAAGGGGCAGGATCTCCCTCCACCCACCCCTCAGCCTGTCTCTTCTTGCAGGGGTTCAGCCCGATACGACTTCTCCCATGAAATACTTCGAGATGAAGAATCATTTTTTGGGGAGCGCCGGGTCCCCCGGGGCCGACGAATCTCAGTGATTTGCCGCTCCCTCCCTGAGGGAGTGGGGCCAGGGAGGCCAGGAGAGCCACCCCTAGCCTGCTGACCTCTACGCCTTGTGAATAAAGTTGGAAAAAGCATATCGTGGGCATCTTTAAATTACCATCTGCCAGGGCTAGGGCCCTCAAGAGACAGGTCTCAGAACTCACATAGCCTGGTGGCTGCTGGGGTACCCCATCACACACACTCCTAAGGCCATTAGAACATTTCTTTTATTGCATTAATTACTGATACCCAGTCCCAGGTCCCCTTCTCATCTTCACTTATGCAAGTTTCTAATAAATGTCATCTGACCCATTCAAAGCCCAGGCTGTCTCACGCTTGTGATTCCGAGGCACAGAGCTAGCCACCACAGCCACAAGCAGCGGCTGAGAGCTGAGGCAGCTGCCGCCAACGGTGACGATCGTCGAGGAAGGTCACATCAGCATAGCTGGTGGGCTGGCAGCAGGGTTGACCATGGGCTCGACCCTGCCCTCGCAGCCGGGCCAGCACCAGGCTGTGCTGGGTACGGGCCTCTCGGGGACAGCTGCCAGCACAGTATCGGAAGATGACCTTCTCCTCTGAGGCATAACCCAGACCCAGCTCAGCCACCGGCAGGGTCAGGCTCCACAGCTGGCATGGAGCAGCCAGGGCTCTTGGAAGGCGGATGTGGTTGTTACCTAGCACAGGGTAGAACAGGAGTGTGAGGCAAGAGCCAGGGCTTTCAGAGAAGGAGCTAGGGAGTCATGAGGCGCCCAGGAATTCTTACCCTGAGTGGGCTTCCGGGTCTCTCCAGTCTCTGCCATCTCCTCAGATGAGATCTCCTCTTCTGCCGCTGGAGCCCCTTGAGGACCAGGGCCCCAGCCGAGGCCCAGGTGCAAGAACAGGAGCAGCGGAAACATGAGCATTAGTCTTCCCGCAGCCATTGTGACAGGGAGGTCCCAGGATGCTGAGAGACCCTGGGGCCCTCAATTTATTCTCTGCCTGCCCTGGGGATTAAACTCACTGCCAGCACCCTGGCTCAGGGAAGCCACCGGGGTCCCACCCACCTTGTCCCCACATCCTCACCCCTAAGAATTGATGGCTCACCCGCCCAGACATTCCATAGACCCATTTCCAATTCCCCTGATTTACGAGTGTCCTACCATTAGCCAGAAGCAAGCCCAGAGCTGGCCACCAATCTGTGTCCCCACCCCACCTGCTTTTGGTGGGAAGTGCAGGGAGACCGGGAGGCCTACTGTAGGTCTTGTGCTGGAGTGAGGGCCATGTTGCGCCAATAGGGACTGGGAAGGGCACATGGCAGATGGAAGAGTCAGTGGGCATTCGTCCATCTCGGCTTTAGCCAGGATTAAGACATCGGACCCCTGTCTCCGGGCCTGGCTGAGCCAGCATCGAAACAGGAAAAGGAAGTCTAGGTGATACCCAAGGGCCGGGACTCCCGTTCTTGGAAGGCCAACCTGAAAAGCCACAGCTATAGCCAGTCTGGGTTTTGGTGCATCAGAGCCCAAGGGAGGCTGGAGCTTGCTGGGTCCCATCATTCCCAAGAAGGAACAGGTTCCGCTGACTTCTGAACCCATGAGACCCAGCTAGCGGACATGGTCAACAACAAACCAAGGACTTTGGAGACAAAGGAATAAAACTGATGTTAGGTATGGCATTGCATGCTGCTCACTCCTGGTCACCTTGGTGCTCAGGAGGCCGGGGCAGCCAGCATAAGCTAGAGTGTCTCAGAACACAGTAAGTGGTGGTGAGAGCTTGGCAGGGTAAAGCCCTTGCCACAGCACCTGAGCTGAGTGAGTTGCAGAAGCCACATGGAGAACTGATGCCAGAGTGTGCGTGCGCGCACACATTCTCACCCGGAGCTAGAGCTGAGTTTGTAGAATTCTTGCTGAGCGTGTTCGGAGCCCTGGGTTCCACACAAAGCCCAGCATAAAATGACATGATGGTGCATGCCTGTCGTTTCAGCACTGGGGAGGCTGAGGCAGGAGCATCACTAGCTCAAGGCCAGCCTGGGCTACATGAGACTATCACAAAGCCGGGCGGGCGGTGGTGGCGCACGCCTTTAATCCCAGCACTCGGGAGGCAGAGCCAGGCAGATTTCTGTGAGTTCGAGGTCAGCCTGGGCTACCAAGTGAGTTCCAGGAAAAGGCGCAAAGCTACACAGAGAAACCCTGTCTCGAAAAACAAAAACAAAAAAAAACCAAAAAAAATCACAAAAAGGAAAAGAAACAATGGCTCTCAGAACTGAAAGCATTTTCAAGTGCAGAATTCAGTCTGAAATAGGTCCCCGAACATAAGGCTCTGCCCCTGGCTACAAGGCTGTGCATACCTGCCTGCCTGGGGTGGATGCTGCCTTAGACCCAGCGTCAAAGGGCCAGCAGAAGGTAGGGCAGGGAGGCTCAGTGAGCAGAGACATTCCTAGGGATTAGCCCCTTTTCTCAGCCACTCCCCATCACCAGCCAGGGGCGGTAGGTGTGGGAGTGGGTTTTCCACTGGTGTCCAGCTGCCAGTGAGGAAGCCCTCCCTGCACCCAGGCTGCTCAGGACCCAGCTTTCAAGGTAGCAGCTGAGGCCAAGGACCAATCAGCCATGTCACCACCCAAGAATGTAAAGCACTCTGCCTGAGCTACGCCCGGCTGGCCTGGATAAGATATATCTCTGGGCCTGTCAGGAGATAAGGGGGACCCCAGGAATGTCCCTTGGAAATGGAAAACAGCATCCAGGTGCCAACACCATGAATAGGTTTGGATTCCGGTGGCCATGAGAGGAAGTGCCTGAGCCAAGAACCGCAAACTGGGCTGTATGCAGGGGACGTGACTACCACCCTAGCATCTGGGAAACGGAGTTCCCAGCTAGCCTGGGCTACACAGCAAGGCCTTCTCAAAATACAAAGTAAGAGAGCCATAACTGTCAGTGGTACATACTTATGATCCGAATACTCCAGAGGTGGAAGTGGGAGGATCAGGAGTTCGAAGCCAGCCTCAACTACAACAGTAAAAAGAGGACTGGGCATGTAGCTCACTCAAGAGTGCTGGCGTAACAAGTCTGGGTCCCACCGTTTTATCACTTGTGCTGCAACAACACAAATCTCAAGCCTGCACTCCTGAAGGACTGAGAAGCTGAGCACTCCCAGACAAGGTCTACCATAAACCCTACACAACACAGCGATACAAGGTAGGCTAGTCAGGGCGGAGCCCCGCCTAGAATCCCCCAGTGAGGGTCTGGGGGCGTGGTCAGAGTGGAGCCCCGCCTAGAATCCCCAGTGAGGGGCTGGGGGCGTGGTCAGGGTGGAGCCCCGCCTAGAATCCCCCAGTGAGTGGCTGGGGGCGTGGTCAGAGCGGAGCCCCGCCTAGAATCCCCCAGTGAGGGGCTGGGGGCGTGGTCAGGGTGGAGCCCCGCCTAGAACCCCCCAGTGAGGGGCTGGGGGCGTGGTCAGGGTGGAGCCCCGCCTAGACTCCCCCAGTGAGGGGCTGGGGGCGTGGTCAGGGGTGGAGCCCCGCCTAGAACCCCCCAGTGAGGGGCTGGGGGCGTGGTCAGGGTGGAGCCCCGCCTAGAATCCCCAGTGAGGGGCTGGGGGCGTGGTCAGAAACTACAAGTAAAATTAAACTCTTGAAGATTGCACAGGGAACAAGCCCTGGCCATGGACTGATTTCTGTGGGCAGGAAGGCTGTGTCCTGTAAAAAATGGAGCTTAGAGCCCCAGGAGGAAGGCCAGGGTGGCAAAGAGGACTCTGGGTCAGCTCTTTATTTTATTAGCATCACTCTTTGAGGGAGAAGTGCATCTTATCACCAATCATCTTGCGCTCAGGGTTGAGGCGCTTAAGGATCTGCGCCAGCACATTCACGGTCTGCTCACTGCTCAGCCCTGTCTTCTTGGTCTGGAACTTTTTCAACAGGTCCTTTGTGGTCATGGGCTTGCGGGTCAGGTAGCGGCGCACAGCATCCTCTGTCACCTGGACATCACTGTGGGAGGTGGAGGGAGAGAGGCTCTGGTCATAAAAGAGTCCCTGTGGCCAAGTCCCGCCTGTGGTCCTACTCAGGTCTGAACCTACCCGCTGCTGGGGGTGGACTTCCCAGACAGGCTCTGGGGGGCTGTGTCCATCCGCAGGCGCTTGGCTGCTGGAGTCTCAGCTGTCCGCTTCCCTGGTGGAGAGAATAATGTCAGGTGTGTGTGGGGGGAGGGGGGGCATCTGGTGTACAGAGGATGGACATGGGCGGCCCTTCCCAGCACTCACCCTGCTCCAGCTTGCTGGCTGCAGCCCGCAGAGTGGAAGAGGTGCTGGCTGCTTCTACACTGGGAGTTCCTGGCCGACTGGTGCCCTTAGAACTGCCCCCTGACGGCTTCCGCTCCCTCTTGGGGGGTGTCTTCTTCTTCTGCAGAGATTGGGATATGAGTCTGAAGGCTGGACTGCCACTCCCATCCCAGCTCCGGTCGGGCTCTGCCTTACCGCCATGAAGAGTGCAGAGGAGGTCTCACTGTCAATGTCGCTATCCTCGGAGCTGTCCGACTCATCGCTGCTGTCTGCATGGGCCAGAGGAGGGGCATAAACAGAGAGCCGAGAGCCCACCCCCCACCGCCACCAGCGAGCAAGTCCCCACGAACCTCTCCTGCGTTTCTTCTCCTGTGGGGTGGGGACCTTCTTCTCTTCCTCCTCCTCCTTGTCCTCCTCAGGAGGCTTCTCCTCCTCCTCACTCTCCTCGCTGCTCTCACTGTGCTCATCCACACCTGGGGACAGTGTGAGCGGAAGGACTGCCAAGTGGACTCCCACACACACACACACACACACACACACACACACACACCCGGGTCCCCAACTGACACCTACCCTTGGGGCCATCCTCCTGCTGCGGCACTTTGGGCTTGCCCTCTGTCTCATCTGGGGAGCTGCTGTGGGGCAGACAAGGGCAAACATGAAGATGGATGACCACAGGCCTGCCTCGCGCCCGCCCGCCTCGCGCCCGCCCGCCTCCTCACCTGGAGCCGTCGGACATGTAGTCCACCTCCTGGCCCTCAAAGTCCCCATCGTCGCTGTCCTCAAAGGCCTCATCATCTGAGCCCTTCTTCTTCTTCTTCTTCTTCCTGCCTGCCTTGGTCAGTGGGGCCTTTTTCTTAGCCTTGGAGGCTCTGCTGCCTGTGAAGGAAAGAAGATTTAAGAGGGGCTCAGACTGGATAAGCATTGCTCACAGCTAGGTGAGGGCTCCACCCCACTCTTCTCTGCAGGACTCTAGGCAGGGGCTCCACCCCCAAACCATGCCACCAGCCCGCCTTGTATCATCGTGTTGTGTGGAGTTTGGGGAAAGAGTTCTCTATCCCTAAGTCATCCAACTAACCCCTTTTTGAATTTGTGTGTGTGTGTGGAGGTGGATTGAGACAGGGTTTCTCTGTGTAGCCCTGGGTGTCCTGGAACTGGCTCTGCAGACCAGCTGGCCTTAACTCAGATATGCGCCTGCCTCTGCCTCCCAGTGCAGGGATTAAAGGTGTGCCCTTTGTTTAAGACGGGGTCCATGTAGCCAGGCAGGGCTGGCTGTGAACTCTGGATCCTCTTGCCTCAGGCCTGAGGTCTGGGATTGTGGCCTGTACACCACGTGTGGTGTGTCTTTATGTGTCATGTGCCTAACAAGGAGACCGCACCCCATGCTAGGCCAGTTCGTAGAGAAGGCTAGCCTGGACACTTATCCCTCCTGCCGCACAGCACCCCTGGAACACTCAAACTGAACCCACGGGAATTCTGTCAAGGTGCCATTCATTTCTAGAGGGGCCCCGTGTCATGAGCTTCCCTGGTGGCCCTGTCCTTGAACTGGGCCTCTGGGACCCCGCTCACCTTCCTCGCCACTGGCATCGCTGGCATCGGAGGACATTTCCAGGTCGTCCTCCAGGTCGTGGATGCGCAGCTCACTCGGCTTCTTTCGGCTGCGCTTCTCCTTCTCCTCCTCCTCCTCATCCTGGTCCTGGTCCTTGAGCCGCCGCTGCTGCATGATGCTGAAGTGATTCAGGACCTTGTTCCTCCTACACGTGGGGACAGTGACTGAGCACTCTGGGGGGCAGCAAAGGAGCTGCTTGGGTAAGGAGGATGGTGGGGCATAGTGACCAGGCCACTTAAATGGGCGTGACAGGGTGACCTCTATGGAGGAGCGAAGGCAGGAAGGTCCCCCAAGGCTGTTAACATGAGCCACACAACATGCTCTGGGCAGTCCTGTCTCCACACAGCATGCTCTGGGTAGTCCTGTCTCCACACAGCATGCTCCGGGCAGTCCTGTCTCCACACAGCATGCTCCGGGCAGTCCTGTCTCCACACAGCATGCTCCGGGCAGTCCTGTCTCCACACAGCATGCTCCAGGCAGCCCTGTCTTCACACAGCATGCTCCAGGCATCCCTGTCTCCACACAGCATGCTCCAGGCAGCCCTGTCTCCACACAGCATGCTCCAGGCAGCCCTGTCTCCACACAGCATGCTCCAGGCAGCCCTGTCTCCACACAGCATGCTCCAGGCATCCCTGTCTCCTGGTACACCACCCAACAACAAAAAAGGGGCAGACCAGGCAAATGAGGTCATTTCAGACCCCCAAATCTTGAAATCATACAGAGTGGAGCACTGAGATGCCTCAGGTCCATGTGCAACTGAGTGCCTAGGGAGGCCCACATCTTAGCTCCTCCAACCAAGCTCCAGGTCTGTCCAGACAAATCCAGCTATCACACTGGTTAGCTAATTAATATTCCTTTATGTTTCTTTGTTTCGTTTTTTGAGACAGGGTCTCTATATACTGTCCTGGCTGTCTTGGAACTCCCTCTGTAGACCAGGCTGACCTTGAACTCACAGAGATCCTCCTGCCTCTGCCTCCTGAGTGCTGGGATTAAAGGCGTGGGCCACCATGCCTGGCAAGTTTTGGGGTGTTTTGAAACCAGGTCTCATATGACCCTGGCTGACCTCAAACTTAATAAGCAGAGGCTGGACTCCTGATCCTCTTGCTTCCTCCTTCTGGGTGCTAGGGTAACTGGTGTGCATGTGTATTACCCCACATCACATCCCACAATTATTTTATCTCATGAATTACTGATAGAGCAGGGGTCCCACTGGACAAGGCTGTTGTGGACACATCTACACATGCCTGGAATAAGCCCTACACATCAGGAAGGGGCTGCTTTTGACATTGCATTCGCGGCCCCTTGAGAACATGCACTGGTCCAGGCTTGCAGGCAGGCACAGGCCAACCCCACACATCACATAAATGCCCACAGCCCTCTCTGGGCACCTTATGCTGAACATCCCCAGTCCTCTGTCCCAGCTTCCCTTCCTGGCACCCATCTTGACTCTCCCTCCCAGGTTAGAACTGAAGCAGCTTCCATCAGGAGGCTGTGCCCATCAGCCCTGCCAGCCCTCACTCAGTTCCCAGGCCAGCCAGCTGCCTGTGCTGGGTGGGCTTGCTCTGAGGGTGTCCACAGTGTGACCCCTATGGCTCACCTTTCCCACTCCTCCTCGGCCTCCTCAGCAGTGAGTGTGCGGTGTCGGGCCAGCGGCGTGAAATTGTACCAGTTCTGCACAGGGAAGGCCTCAAAGGCGCCATCAGCACACTGTGTGAAGATGTAGTAGGCTGTGTTCTCTGTCACTCCGCCCTTCTTTATGCCCTTGAACCTGTGGAAAGCCTAGGTCAGGTCACAACCCTACCCACAAGGCCTGCCTGCACCCCGTCTCCCCTCATCAGCACCCACCTGGGCTCTCCTAGGAATGCCTGGGACAGAAAGAAAGCACCAGGCCACCATCTCCTGAGCTCAGATCATCACTCAGGCACCTTGTGGCCACTGTCCTCAACGCTACTGCCGGAATCTGGGCCATGTAGCACTGTTTGCCCTGCTCCCAGCCTACAGCCCACCACGGCTACTGTGCACAGAACACCTGTCATTGGCTCCTTTGCCATGGACTACCCTCTACCCTGGGGTCACCCCAAGTGTCATGGCCTCACCTCAAGGCCGCACTCAGGCTGCTGAGCCAGGCCAGCACCACCTAGTTGGCTCATCTTCAAGATTAAACTTTTGAAAGAGAGGTGGTAGTGGCCCCCTCCTGCTGAGAACACACTCAGGGAAGGTGCCCCCAAAGTGTGCATGTGTGAAGGACACAGGCTGGCCCCTCCTCACCACCAGCACCACTCACTTCCTGCCCGATTTGCCGTTGACCCGGAGCAGCCAGGGCTGGTCCTCAGGCCGGAACTCCTTCAGGACGATGCCGTACTTCTTCCGTCGGGCCTCCTCCCGGAGCTTTCGGTTGAATTCGCTGCCTGCTCCGGACTCTGGCATCTCCTCCTCCTGATAGATCTTCTTGTTGCTCAAATCTCGCTCCAGCCGGGCCTGGGGGAGCAGCAAGGACAGCCTCTCAGCCCCCCACAGGCCTTCTGTCCCCTGTGCTGGGTTCCATCGCTCCAGCATGAGGAGTGAGGTTCGGATCTCCAGTGCCCACAAACAAAGCTGGGCATGGTGTGTCCGGAGTCCCCAGCAAGGAGGGGCAGACAGGAGGGCCCCTGGAACTCACTGGTCAGCAAGCCCCAGGCTCAGGGAGACACCCTGACTCAAAACCTAACTAACGCAGGCAGAAGGCGAGAACTGACTCCTGAGAACTGATCTCCAAACTGTCACACATACACACACCTGGGCCCAACAGATGTCATCAAAATAATGATGTGGAAAGTGACTAAAGAAGACACCTGAGGCTGGAGAGATGGCTCAGTGGTTAGGAGCACTGGCTGTTCTTCCAGAGGACCCAGGTTCATTTCCCAGGACCCACATGGCAGCTCACAACTGTCTGTGTAACTCCTGTTCCAGATGAGCCAGCACCCTCACACAGACATAGATAAAGGCAAAATACCAATGTACATAAAATACGAATTTAAAAAAAAAAAAAAACAATCTTTTTAAAAAAAAAAAAAAAAAAGGACACTGATGTCAACCTCTGGCCTTGACATGCACAGCATGCCCACGAGCACATGTGCACACACACAAACATCCCACATAAAAGAGATTCATGTATAAAGAGACTAAAGACGGACAGTGTCCACCTGGGGATGGCTCAGGAGCAACCCAGACAGAATGGAGACAGTAACATCTTAACATGGCACCCAGAATAGTGGACAGTTTAAAACTTTGGCCTTTAAAATTTCCTTATTTATTGGTTTTTCGAGACAGGGTTTCTCTGTGTAGCTCTGGTGTCCTAGAACTCGCTCTGTAGACCAGGCTAGCCTCAAACTCACAGAGATCCACTTGGCTCTGCTCCCGAGTGCTGGGATTAAAGGCGTGCGCCACTACTGCTCGGCTAAAAACTTTTAAAACTGTATTTGTTTTGGGGCGTTGTCCATGGATTGGCTGTTTGTGAGGTCAGAGGACAAAGTTGAAGAGTCAGTTCTTTACTTGAAGACCCATCTTGCTATCCTACTTTATCTTTTTTAAGGCGTGGTCCACCTGTCCTAGGCTTCACTTGAGCTCACTATGTAGCCAAGGATGGCCTTCAATTTAGGGCCCTATACTGCATCCAGCCCGGGATGACAGCTGTGCACTACCACGCCTATGCTTTTGGGGTTTTTTTTGGTTTTTCGAGACAGGGTTTCTCTGTGTAGCTTTGAGCCTTTTCCTGGAACTCACTTGGTAGCCCAGGCTGGCCTCAAACTCACAGAGATCCGCCTGGATCTGCCTCCAGTGCTGGGATTAAAGGCGTACACCACCACCGCCCTGCTTGTTTTGTTTTTTTTAAGACAGGATTTATGTAGCCAGGCCAGTCTAAAATATTGTTTTTCTGCCTCAGCCTCCAAATGGTTAGAATCACATGTCTGCTGGGGTTTTAAGTGTAGCCACCAGCCAGGCTAGCCTCTAATCCCAGCCCTCGCCTCTAATCCCAGCCCTCGCCTCTAATCCCAGCCCTCGCCTCTAATCCCAGCCCTCGCCTCTAATCCCAGCCCTCGCCTCTAATCCCAGCCCTCGCCTCTAATCCCAGCCCTCGCCTCTAATCCCAGCCCTCGCCTCTAATCCCAGCCCTCGCCTCTAATCCCAGCCCTCGCCTCTAATCCCAGCCCTCGCCTCTAATCCCAGCCCTCGCCTCTAATCCCAGCCCTCGCCTCTAATCCCAGCCCTCGCCTCTAATCCCAGCCCTCGCCTCTAATCCCAGCCCTCGCCTCTAATCCCAGCCCTCGCCTCTAATCCCAGCACTCGCCTCTAATCCCAGCACTCGCCTCTAATCCCAGCACTCGCCTCTAATCCCAGCACTCGCCTCTAATCCCAGCACTCGCCTCTAATCCCAGCACTCGCCTCTAATCCCAGCACTCGCCTCTAATCCCAGCACTCGGGAGGCGGAGCCAGGTGGATCTCTGTGAGTTCGAAGCCAGCCTGGTCTACAGAAGGAGATTCAGGACAGGCACCAAAGCTACACAGAGAAATCCTGTCTCGAAAAACCAAAAAAACAAACCAAACAAAAAAAGTGTAGCTACCATCATTTCAGGAAAGTAATTACTGCAACCACCAGCCCAGTTAGGCCCCTACCCTAGTCAGCCAGAATTACAGGCTTACCTGGTTCCAGGAAGCAAAGTTGACTTTATCAGCTGCATTAAAAGCCATTATGTTGTACTTTTTGGTTGTATTCCTGGAATGAGCAAGAGACAATTCAATCTATTGATTATTCATTCAACAAACTCATGATTACACCCTTGGTTGTAGGTGATTCTGGGAACTCATAGATTCCAGAGCAGTGGTTCTCAACCTTCCTAAAGCTGCAATTCTTTAATACAGTTCCTCATGTTGGGGTGATCCCCAACCATACAATTATTTTCATTGCTACTTCATTAACTATAATTTTGCTCGTTATGAATTGTAGAGTAAATGTCTGTGCTTTCCAATGGTCCTAGGTGACACCTGTGAAGGGCTGACCCCAAGGGGTTGAGAACCACAGTTTGAGACCCAATGCTCCCGAGTTTCCCAGTTTGTTCTCCTTCAAACCTATCAGACCCACGGGCACCAGACATGCTCATAGTGCATAGTTGTACATGCAGACAAAACATTCATACACGTAAGATAATAAATAAAACTTTAAGTGGGCCGGCCAAAGGTGTAGAGGGACCCTACTGTAGAGAGGAGGGCAAGCAGGCAAGGGGTAGTCTTGGTGGCTTCAAGCCCAAACTGGTCAAACCAGCTAGGACTACATAATAAGCCTCTGTCTTCAAAATAAAAGGGGGCTGGATGTGGCTCAATGGTGGAGAGCTTGCCTAGCACCCCCCTAAGACAGTCAGGAGTTGAGGGATATGGCACTCTTGGCACAGAAAACTGGATGTAGAACACTTGTGACCAGTTTGGGATTTTTTCCCCCCGAAACTGGGTTTCTCTGTGTAGCCCTGGCTGACCTGGAACTCATTCTGTAGACAATCCGCCTGCCTCTACCTCCCGAGTGCTGGGATTAAAGGCGTGCGCCACGTCTGGCCTGAGCGTCTGGAACAGGACAAAGTCACCGACCCTGACATTAACTAAGGTGTGACTGAGGCTTGCACGGAGACAGGGCCAGCCTTGCCGTCCGCGGTCCTGCGCCTGGCGGCGGACCCACCCCCGGGCCGAGGAGTGTGTGGTGTGGGTGACTTACTTGGGCACTCGGACGACATACTCGGTGACATTCTGGCTGCCGGGGCCCTGCAGAGGAAGCACGGGTCTGTGAGGCTCGGAGGGGCCGCGGATCTGCGACCCCCGATCCCCGCCTCATTCATACTCACTAGAGCCGCCATGGCCGTTGCTCAAGCGGTTCCGGGTCGCTCTGACCCGGATGCTCTTCGTGGTGTCCCTGGGTCCCGGGGAAGGCACCTTGCCCGGATGTCACGTTAATATGATCCTGTGTTTTGAATCTCCAAACCCTTAAGTCTCAGAAAACACTGGAAGAGTTAAAAAAAAAAAAAAAAAAAAGCACACAAACCAACAAAAACCTAACTCTCTGCGCGTGCGTCAGACCCAGAAGGAGAACTGCCACATCGGGCTGGCAGCTGCCTTAGTACCCAGCCTGGGCCGCCTCCAGCCTCTGAGACACCCGAAGCCGCCTTCTGCCAGCGTTCTCTTTTATGGCACCAATAATTTAATCACGGCGTGTGGCCACGCCCCTCCCTGACGTCACGGCGCAGGTACCGCGGTGCGTCCTGGGTAGGCTGGGAATGGAGTCTTCTGGCGGGCGCGTCCTCGGCACTCTTGCGCATGCGTCAACGTGTTCGGGGAGGGGGGAAGCGGGCGCGGAGGCCGAGTTGCTATAGCAACCGAGGCGGGCTCCGCGGGAGGATTCTCGGGCTGCTCCGGGGCGGGCCTGGGATTCCGCTTTCTCTGCGTCCCGGTGCCTGGGAAATCCCGGGCATCTTGCAAAATGAGCCCCTTGTGACGTAGAGTGGAGCCGAGGGGTCAGGGCCGGGTGGAGACCGGGTCCCCGCGTACCGCGGCATGCGGGCGGGATGGGTCTGTGCGAGTCCACGCTGCCCCAGATGGGCAGAGCTTTGAGGCCCCAGGAGAAGGGTAACGTCGTGTGGTGGTTGGTTTACAGGGGGTAACGGAAGGGGGCGTGGGAGGCAGGTATCCCCACTATCAGGATGTGCGCACACCAGCCCTAGCACGGCGGGAAGGCAACTGCGCAGTCCCCGCCCCACCGTGGGTTGATGTCTTTGGAAGATAACTTGACGAGTAGTGGAGCCAGTCTCCGAAAATGGAAATTACAACTTTAGAGGAAGGTCTCAGAGACAGGCGGCCTGCGGGATGCATAGGAGTTGGTTGAGCAGAGGGGCACGGGAGACGCAGACATTGAGCCATAAACTACTGAGTCCACAGATGTGCGTGGTAGCTGAGACATGCATTTCTTCACCATCAGGGGCCGGCCGTGCGCCCTGGCTTACAGAGGCTGGCTAGGAGGCCCAAAGCGAGTTGAAAGGGAGGAAGAACCAGGGCTGACTATAGAAGACACGGGGGTCTGAGGCAGGGAGAGGAAAGGACAGAGGCTTTACCCCAACGTGCGGGAGGTATGGCTGGAGGCGCGAGCAGGCAGGATAAACAGGACCGCACGGTGGGCGGAGCAGGGTGCGGCGGGCTGAGTTTGAGGGCTTTTCCCTTTCGTTATCTGTAAAATGGGGTGATGGAGTTACTGAGGTCTCCGAGGAGGTCTCTGCAAAAGGCTCAAGAGAATCCCAGCAGTGGGATCCTTAGACCCTAAAGACACGCACTAGGACCCACTGTGTCTTTCCTGAACGTAGATGTCCTGAAGTCCCCCCTGATCATCTTCGTGGTGGGCGGTCCTGGCTGTGGGAAAGGGACCCAATGCAGAAACATGGCCAGCAAGTACGGCTTCTGCCACGTGGGGCTGGGCCAGCTGCTGCGGGAGGAGGCTCAGAGGAGGACCCAGCGGGGCCGACAGATCCGGGACATCATGCAGCAGGGACGCCTGGTGCCCACGGTGAGAGTTCAAGCGAGAGGAAGCAGGCCAGGACAGAGTCCCCAGGGAGCCAGGGTGTCCTGGCCCGGCTACTGCCTTGTCCTGCTGACACTGTCATGAGAAGGCTGTAAAGTGGGGTCGGTTAAGGGCACCTGCTGCTCCGGCCCTCGATCTGGGTTTGGTTCCCAGCACCCACACGGCAACTCTTTGGGCCTCTGAGGGCTCTGCACACGCACAGTCATCCATGTAGGCAAACACTCACACAAATAAAACTTTACCCAAAACAAAGTCACAGTGAGGGCAGTGGTGGAGGTCATTTGGTAGAGCACTCACCTAGCATGCACAGTCCTGGGCCCCATCCCCAGCACAGCAAAAATTGGTGCATTCTGGGCAACCCAGCACTCAGGAGGAGTTTGGTGGTATCTGTGACCGCATGCCAAGAACCAGAGAGATGGCACCTTGGGGGAAGGCACTCGAAGTCAAGACTGACAACCTAGTTCAGTCTCTGGGGCCTTTGTGATGAAGGAGAGAATTGACTGCTGTGGGTGGTCCTCTGCCCCCACACCTGCTGCGGCACATGCACCACCCCTCCACAACTAGACAAATAATAGAGATATATATAATAAGTGTGTGTGTATGTGTGTGTGTGTGTGTGTTTTCTTTTTTTCGAGACAGGGTTTCTCTTGGCTGTCCTGGAACTCACTCTGTAGACCAGGCTGGTCTGGAACTCACAGAGATCCGCCTGCCTCTGCCTCTGAGTGCACTCCTGAGTGCAGTGGGATCCTTCGACGCGAGACCAGGGTACCCTAAAGACACGCACTAGGACCCACTGTGTCTTTCCTGAACGTAGACGTCCTGAAGTCCCCCCTGATCATCTTCGTGGTGGGCGGAACAAGATCTAATAAACTTTTAAGAGTCCAGCCTTGAGCCCCATGGCGGCGCACTCCTCTAATCCCAGCACTCGGGAGGCAGAGGCAGTCGGATCTCTGTGAGTTCGAGGCCAGCCTGGTCTATGAATTCTAAGACAGCCAGGGCTGCACAGAGAGGCCCTCTTTGTTTTGTTTTTTGTTTCAAAAAAAACAAAAACGAGCCGGGCGGTGGTGGCGCACGCCTTTAATCCCAGCACTCGGGAGGCAGAGGCAGGCGGATCTCTGTGAGTTCCGGGCCAGCCTGGGCTACCAAGTGAGTTCCAGGAAAGGCGCAAAGCTACACAGAGAAACCCTGTCTCGAAAAACCAAAAAAAAAAAAAAAAAAAAGTCTTTATTAAAAAAAAAAAAAAACAAAAACGAAAAACCTACAAGCGGAAAGGAAACCACTGAGTCAGGCGCTGGGTCCTGCTTCTGTCTCACGTGAGGTCCAAACTGAATGACCTTCGTAGCACCTCGCCCCTTCCAGGGTGGTGGGTCCTGGGCACTGAGTCCTGAGTCAGTGCCCTTTCCTTCCCAGGGTCTCATTCTGGACATGATCAGTGACAACCTGCTGTCTCGTCCGGAGAGCCGCGGCTTCCTCATCGATGGCTTCCCCAGAGAGCTGGAACAGGCCAAAGAGTTTGAGCGGATTGTGAGTGCCCGACCCGACAGTGTCCTTGGGTGTGTGTGCCTGCGAGCAGGTTCCAGACTACCCCTCTCCCAGCTCCCCTTAAAGCCTTAGTGGGCGATGCGTGAGAGCCTGAGCTGGGAGACCTTCCTTCCTTCAGGGCCAGGCTGGCCTCAAACTCATAACTAGGGTAGGCTGACCTTGAAGTCCTAACCTTCCTACCTTTGCCTTTGGGGTGCCGGGATGGCAGGCCTATGCCACCACACCTGGTTATGTGCCCAGGATGGAACCCAGGGATGCGTGCTGGGCGAGCCCTCTGCCCGCCGTGCGCCCCCGCCCCCCACCCCGGCCTGCACATGTGCTGTAAGGGTTAGAAGCAGCACTTGGAGGCACAGGCCTGTCAGCCCAGCACCGGGAGCCTGTGAGGCAGGAGGATTATGATTTCCAGGCCAGCCTGGGCTACATGTTGAGTTCAGCTGTCTCAAACAAATAATAAAAATTGAACAAACGGGCTGCCGAAGAGGCTCAGCAGTTAGGAGCGCTGACTGCTGTTCAGTTCCCAGCACCTACGTTGTGGCTCACAACCACCTGTAACTCCCGTTTTAGGGAATCCGATGCCCTCTTCTGTCCTCTACAGGCTTCTGTGTGACTATGGTGCACATAAACTCACCCAGGCAAAAGCTTACACACATACACATTTTTTTGTTTGTTTTTCGAGATAGGGTTTCTCTGTGTACCGCTGGCTGTCCTGGAACTCGCTCTGTAGACTAGGTTGGCCTTGAACTCACAGAGATCCGCCTGCCTCTGCCTCCCGAGTGCTGGGATTAAAGGCGTGCGCCACCACCACCTGGCTCATACACATTAAAAAAAAAAAGGTTTTTTTAATCTTAAAAAACCCCAAACAACCAACCAAACAAACAAACAAAAACTAAGGCGGGGAGCCAGTGGAAGGTACTGCTGGCCTCCACACTCACAAACACGTGCACAAAAAACCGGGGTGCTGATGGTGAGAGCTGATGGAAGATTCTAGAGGGTGAGTTTATCCATGCAGTGTTGCCAATGGGCTCAGGAAGCATTCCCACCGCTGTTGCCATGGGGACGGACGTGCAGGCCCGCGTTACCAAGCCAGTGGTTTTATGAGAAGCTGGGAGCTGTGCTGCAGAAGCAGCGATTCCCCACCCCCTTGTTTAAATATCGGTCACAAAAGCTTAAAATGTGAAACTGTGTAACCCAAAGGGAACTGTGGGCTGGGAGTCTGAGTGTCTCATGCAGACTCCAACTCTCTACCCAAGGATGACCTTGGTGTTGATGGTCCTGCCTCCAGTAGCCAGGCTAGCCTGGAAGTCCCTGCAGTCCTTCTGCCTAGGCCCACTGAACGCTAGGGACACAGGCATGCATCATCACAACAAGCTTTTGACTGGACAGGTAAAAGTTAATTCCTTTTTTGTTTTTAGATATTTAAATTTATGCATATAAGAGTTTTGCTTGCATGTATGAATGTCCACCACAGATATGGTTGGCTGGCCCCCTTTGAGATCTAGATCTGAAGATGGTGTTGGGTCCCCTGGATCTGGACCTAGAATGGTTGTGAGCCATCAGGTGAATGCTGGCAATCAAACCCGGTCCTCTCCAAGAACAAGTATGCTACCACTGAGCCCTAACTATGCACTGTACATGGGTGCACTCTATAATACACACAGAATAAATCTTTGTCTTAAAGACTTAAGAATGAGCCGGGCGGTGGTGGCGCACGCCTTTAATCCCAGCACTTGGGAGGCAGAGCCAGGCGGATCTCTGTGAGTTCGAGGCCAGCCTGGTCTCCAAAGCGAGTTCCAGGAAAGGCGCAAAGCTACACAGAGAAACCCTGTCTCGAAAAATCAAAAAAAAAAAAAAAAAAAAAAAAAAAAAAAGACTTAAGAATGAAGCCTGGTGGTGCTCTAACTTCCCCTGAATCCCCCAGTGAGGGGCTGGTCAGGGTGGAGCCCTGGCTAGAATCCCTCAGTCAGGGTCTGGGGGCGTGGTCAGGGCAGAGGCCTGCCTAGAATTCCCCAGTGAGGGTCTGGGGGCGTGGTCAGGGTGGAGCCCCATCTAGAATCCCCCAGTGAGGGTCTGGGGGCGTGGTCAGGGCAGAGCCCCGCCTAGAATTCCCCAGTGAGGGTCTGGGGGCGTGGTCAGGGTGGAGCCCCATCTAGAATCCCCCAGTGAGGGTCTGGGGGCGTGGTCAGGGAGGAGCCCCGCCTAGAATCCCCCAGTGAGGGGCTGGGGGCGTGGTCAGGGCAGAGCCCCACCTAGAATCCCCCAGTGAGAACTGGGAAATGTGCCTTAAGCATACATTTCTTGCCAAGTGGTGGCAATGCCTTTAATCCTATCACTCGCAGGCAGAGGCAGGTGGATCTCTTGAGTTTGAGGCTAGCTCAGTCTACAAAGTTCTAGGACATCCAGGACTACACGGAGAAGACTCCCTGTTGTTGAGTTGCCAAGCAACCCAACCAAAACCCTGTCTCAAAGTAAGAGAGAAAGAAGAGGGAGGAAGTAGAGATTTTGGCTGGAAAGATGGCTCAGTAGTTAAGAGTACTCGATGATCTTTTAGAGGACCTGAGCTCAATTCCCAGCACCCACTTCAGGTGGCTCCCAACTGCCTGCAACTCCAGCTCCATGGGCACCTCATGCCTCTGGCCTCTGTGGGTACCAGCACTTATGCATAGCACACACATAGGTTTAAACAAATATTTTTAAAACGATGAAGAGGGACCAGGGAGATATGTAGCTAGAGTTTTCCTGCCTGGCCCACAGTCAGGACAAATCTCTCTCACCCGCCAGTCCCACAACCACTCAGACCCGACCAAGTAAACACAGAGACTTATATTGGTTTCAAACTGTATGGCCATGGCAGGCTTCTTGCTAACTGTTCCTACAGCTTAAATTAATCCATTTCTATTAATCTATACCTTGCCACATGGCTTGTGGCTTACCGGTACTTTACATCTTCCTTGTCCTGATGGCGGCTCGCAGTGTCTCCCTGACTCAGCCTTCCACTTCCCAGCTCTATTCTCCTCCTTGTCCTGCCTACACTTCTTGCCTAGCCAATGGCCAATCAGTGTTTTATTTATTGACTAATTAGCAACACATTTGCCATACAGAACATCTCACAGCAGAGATATCTCAGCAGGTGAAGTGCTTGTCACCAAGCTTGACAACCCAAGTTCTCTCCCTGGAATCCACGTAAAGGTGGAAAACAAACTTCACCATGTTGTCATCTGACTCCCACACACGCCTCTCCCTCCTTCCAATAACAATGAATGAGAGAAAGAAAGAAAGAAAGAAACAAAGAAAGAAAGAAAAGAAAGAAGGAAAGAAAGAAAAAGGATGAATTACCAGAACCATACATGCAGGTGCCATGACTGTCAGAAGTCTGTCAGCAGGTGACTTCATTGCCTACGGGGAGGGGCCAGTGGAGGGACAGGGGCAGAGAGAACCTCACCCTTTTCCATATTTGTCTTACATGCTCTGCACACGCAGTGCCCACCACTACAAATCAAGCCTCTGGTTGGGAGGAGCTGGGCTTGGAGGGCAGAGCACTGGCTTCCGATATTCGAAGCCCTGGGTTCCATCCCCAGGGCCTGTGTAGAAATGAACCCCCTGGCCGGGTGGTGGTGGCACACACCTTTAATCCCAGCACACAGGATGCAGAGCTGGGTGGATCTCTGTGAGTTCGAGGCCAGCGTGGTCTACAGAGTGAGTTCCAGGAAAGGTGCAAAGCTACACAGAGAAACCCTGTCTCGAAAAACCGAAAAAAAAAAAAATAGAAAAAGAAAGAAACAAAATGAAACCCCTGGAACCCTTGGATGACTGTGGCTTATAGTAAGTTTTTGGTTTGCCCAATCACTGGGCATGCTTTAGTGAAACATTTCAGTATTAGGATAAGAATTTGTACTGTATCAAGCTGATGAAAGGATATGCTGGCCATACTTTCAGGAGTGGAGGCTAAAATCTTTTTAGATTATAGATTAGCAGCCTATAGAAAAATGTCTGCCGTAAATCAAACAGTGAAGGGGAAGATGAATAGGAATCTCACTTATACAACTTAAGTAAAACATAGCTCTCTGAACAGATGAAGATAGGTTTCTTCTGTATCCCAGAATCTAATCAATATTTATATGTATAGTTCAGCTACCATTTGGCTTAAAAGGGCTTATTGAGAAATGTTATCATTTTTACTATTTTCTACAGAGAAAATGTTTTACTGTTTAAAATAACCCTGGACTTTTGAATTATAAGCTGTTTTTTTTTTTTTTTTTTTTTTTTTTTGGTTTTTCGAGACAGGGTTTCTCTGTGTAGCTTTGCGCCTTTCCTGGAACTCACTTGGTAGCCCAGGCTGGCCTCGAACTCACAGAGATCCGCCTGGCTCTGCCTCCCGAGTGCTGGGATTAAAGGCGTGCGCCACCACCGCCCGGCTATAAGCTGTTTTTAATGTTAAAAAAAAAGAAATAAAACAAACAAAAAAAAGAAATAAAACAAACAACCCCCCCCCCCGGAAAAAAAAAAGAAAAAAAAAAGGAAACCCCTGGCCAGGCAGTGGTGATGCAAGCCTTTAAGTCCAGCACTTGGAAAGCAGAGGCAGGTGGATCTCTGTGAGTTCGAGGCCAGCCTGGTCTACAAAGCGAGTCTCAGGACAGTTAGGATTGTTACACAGAGAAACCCTGTCTTGAAAAAAAATGACATTTCATTAGTGTCAGCTCAAGGATGTGTAGAAGATAAGTAACCTTGGTGGTGTCCCTGTCCCCATGGGAAGCAAGAAACCAGGCCTGGTGGTGCACACCTGTCATCCCAGCACTGAACTGGGGACGTGGAAGAGGATGAATGGGGTTCAGGGTCACCCTAGGCTACATAGGGAGTTCAAGGGTAGCTTGAGCTTCATGAGACCCTGTCCAAAAGAAAAGAAACAAAACAAAACAAACAAAAAACCAAACGGCTAGGTGAGGTAGCACACATTTAACCCCAGCACCTGGGGAACAGAGGTAGGTGGATCTGAATTCGAGGAAAGCCTGGTCTACAAGGCCAGTTCCAGGGCTGTATAGTGAGACCCTATCTAAAAAGAAAAAAAGCAAACTGGAATAACTCAATATGAGGCTTTATGATATCAGCACTCAGGAGGCAGAGGCAGGAGGAATGTACATTCAACACCAGCTTTGAGTATATAAAATGATCCTGTCACAAAATAAGTAATTAAAGGAATAACAGTAAATGAAAAAGAACATACGCAGTGTGGCTGTGCACATCTATGATTTCATCACCTGGCATTGGAAGCAGGAGGATCAGGAGGTCCATATCAGCTAGGGTGACATGAGACCCTGTCTCCAAAAGCAAACCAAGTACTAGCCTTACAAGTGTGCAGGCCTGAGTTCCATACCCAGAGCCCACATAAAAACCTGGGTGTGGGGCTGGAGAGATGGCTCAGAGATTAAGAGCACGGTCTATTCTTCCAGAGTCCTGAGTTCAATTCCCAGCAACCACATGGTGGCTCACAACCATCTACAATGGGATCTGGTGCCCTCTTCTGGAGTGCTGGTGTACATGCAAGCAGAACACAACAAAATCTTTAAAAAAATAAACCACCCTGGATGTGGTGTATATGCTTATCTCGGTTCTTGAATAGAGCAGATAGGGGCTCACTGGCCAGCCAGCCTACTTGTAAAGTTTTAGACCAGTGAGAGACACTCAAACAAACAAACAAACAAACAAAAACCCCCAAGGTTGCAGGCTACAGAGATGGCTCAGTTCAGCAGTCAAGAGTGTGTATTGAGCCAAGCATGGTGGCATTCACCTTCAATCCCAGCCCTGGGGAGGCAGAGGCAAGAAGGTTCCTGTCTCAAAAAAAAAAAAAAAAAAAAAAAAAGGTTTTTTTGTTGTTGTTGTTTTTTCTTTTTTTTCCCCCAAGACTGGGTTTCCTTGTGTAGCCCTGGTTGTCCTGGAACTCGCTCTGTAGATCAGGCTGGCCTCCAACTCAAGAGATTCATGTGCCTCTGCCTCCCATGTGCTGGGATTAAAAGTGTGCACCACCATGCTAGGCTCAAAAATGTTTTTTAAAAGAGTGTATAGTGCTGTTTGCAGAGGACTGAAGTTCAGTTCTTAGCCTCTCTCCCTCTCCTCCCTCCAGGCTCATGGTCTCTTGGGAATCTGTGCAAGCACCCTCTCCTCACCCTGTCCTGTTGGTTACTGCCTAGGTGGGCAGGGCCCCCAACATAGTCATGGGGTTTGACTGCTCCATGGAAACAATGGTGCGGAGAGTTCTACGCCGTGGACAGGTGGAGCACCGGGCGGATGATTCGGAGCCAGCCATCCGCAAGCGCCTGGAGACACACTACACCCTGTGTGAGCCTGTCCTGACCTTCTACCAGCAAAAGAACCTTCTGCGAAATGTGCGTTCCTGGAAGGGAGCCCCTCTTGGCCAGCCTGCATCCGCCACTTTCCCCAGTGTGTAATGAGGGAGTTCTATTTCCTTAGGGCTGCACAGGCTGACAGGCCTCATGCAGCCCAGGCTGGCCCAGAACTCATATAATCAACATCAGTCTTCTGAGCACTGACAGGTGTGAGCCACTGGATGCCCTCAGTTCCCCAAAGCTACAGTGGGGTGCCCAACGCTGCCACCTGAGTAGCTGTGAAGTCCTGTGCTGCCCACACGTCCGGCCCAGCACGTGCTGGGGTGGAGTTAGTGTCAGCACAAAGGGCTATGCCAGATAAGGGACTGGGAAACAAGCCTGGGAGACTGCCTTCTCCTGCTCCCTGGACCTGTGGAGTCTCCACCCCGCTCCACTGCTGTCACCCAGGCTGCAAACCTGCTCTCACATCAGGGCTTGCCTCCAAGGGGTTACGGGAGCTTAGCTCTTACTATGGGCTGCAGCTTGCTTGACCCCATGGCTTCCTCTCCCCTAGATCTTGGCTGAAGAAGCCCCCGAGAGCATTTTTGCCAAGTGCTGCTCAGTCATTGACAGTCTGCAGTGAGGGGCCGATGTCCGGCCTACCCCATTCCCCACAGCACACAGGACCCAGGCCTGTGAGGTGAGACCTTGGTGCTAATAGGGCCCCTTTGTGGGCAGACAGGCAGCTAACACAGTCAGAGGGGAACTACCTACCTAGAGATGGCAGCTGTCACTGCGTCATGTGGACCCTGGTCATTTTTGTAGCGTGCCAAGGTTTGTTTGCAGGTGGTCTGAGGGCAGCTTTGGGAATGGGTTCTTTTGTTCCTGATGCTGTGGCAAGCCCCTCCCTGTCTGGCTGGGGTTAGAGGAGCCACTGCACCTGACTCTGGGGCCAGCTTTCACCCGCCATGCCATCCTCCTGGCCTTGACTTTGATCACCAAGGGTAACTTCACCGGCTGGCACTGCCTCAGGATGCCAAGAATCCCAAGTGACTTCTGGTGCCCTGGGCACACCTCACCCAGGCTTAACTCTACTTCAGTGTTGGCCATACATTTTTGCCAAGTGCTGCTCGGTCACCGACGGTCTGCAGTGGGGGGGGGGGGGGGGGGCACGCGCCGCATAGGCATGCAAGTCAAGCCCGTGCCCAATGGGATGCTTTCACAAGGCAACCTTAGTGACAAGTGCAGTCACATCCATGGGAACGTGGCCCCGGGGATGATCCTCAGTGCCTGCTCTCCCAGGTCCCAGAGGGAGAGTGCAGACAGCTGGGCAGGCCTCCCAAAAGGAAGGGGACTGAACAGCACTCCATCCTCTCTGCCCCACTCACCCTGCTTCCCTCTACCAGCACAACCTGTGTACTGAAAAGGTTAGGAAAACACACGCCTGCAGACTGTCTCCTAAAAAACGAAGACAAAATCCCCACAAGAAGCTGTTCACCTCCAGACACCATCACCAGGGTTACGTTCACAACATCTACTCAGGTCATCTGCTTCAGAAGCCTACTTGAAGGGTGGGAGACAGACAGACGGCAGCCAGCAAGACACGGGGAGGTTTTGTTACCATTTATTTGTGAAGTTAAAAACGAGCGATAAAAAGTAAAAACTGCCATACAATTTTTTTTTGTTTTGTTCTCATTTTTTTTTCTCAGTTTATCTCATCTTCAACAGATGACAACGTACCAGGCCAGTCCTGGGGTTGGGGTGGGTATAGGGTGGAGCCAGGGAAGAGCAGGGGGGGGAGAGAGAAAGGGGAGAGAGGGGGAGAGAGAGAGATGGGCAGGGCAGGAGGGGCCTGCGACACCCACACCTGGTCCAAGGAATGTTCCAACTCTAACTAAAAAAACGAAAAAACGAGATAGCAAGAGTGACTTTCTTTCCTTTTAAAAAGTTTATTTAAAAACAAGAATAGGGCCCCGGGCAGTAGGGAGGGAGTGAACCGCTTCCCTCAGAGGGTGGGCTCAGAGGCGGGGATAGAGGTTTATATATTTCTCTATATATATCACTTTATAGGTTTGTTCTGCTCTTTGTGATTTAATTTTTAAACTTTTTTTTTTGGCAGAGGTTAAATTCTCGCTATTTTCTAAGGCTGGCTCAACATGAAGGATCCCGATTTTGGAAGGAAAAAGATGTGAGACACACAGAATGAGAGAGGGACTGCCTCAGCATGAGGGGGACCCCCTACACCCCAGGCGGCCGTTGCTCTCTCACCAAACCAATCAAATATAGAAACCAATAAAAGAAGCCCCCAAATGGAACAAAAATGGAGGGAAAAATATGTTCACAGATGAAGTTCATATCCATTTGCTTCAATTGCCTGCGGAGAGGGAGAGACAGGGACAGTCATGGCAGGGGGGCGGCTGGGCTGTAAGAGGCTGCGACTCAGGCAGCGGGCCAGGAGGCCGGGCCCAAGCCTGCACAGGCCAGGCAGGGGCTGTGACTGTCTGTCTTGGGGACTCCGCTGAAGTCAGACTGCTCCTTGGTGGAGGAGAAGCAGGAGGAAGAGGAAGAGAAGTGGGGGGGGGGTCTGCAGCAGAAGAAGCCAGAGGCATGGAAGGGGCGCACAAGGAAGAAGTGCCAGGGTGGGGAGAGGGGCAGAGGAGGGAGGCGGCGGGCGGCTGGGCGTCACAACATTCAGATCACGGTGTCCCCACAACACCCCTGTGAGGTAGGTTGGAAGGTGGCAACGATCGTCATGCCCACTTCACAGACAAGACCAGGACACAGAGGCAAGTGCACAAGAGGTGGCCTCGCCAGGCAGGGAGGGCCCAGTCCCCTCAGTGGGCTCCCCTCCATCCCAGCAGAGCCAGGGCCGCCTGCAACACGCAGTTACTTTGACATGGGGGATAAAGATGGAGGTTTTAAAAAAATAAAAGAATAAAAAAGAACAAAACCCAAAATAGTGATGCTGAGAAGGGGAAAAAAATAGACATTTTCTTCCCAAGTGGCCAGATTTTGAGCGAGCGGGTTCAGCAACCGGCGTGGCGCTCAGCGCAGTCCCCACTTCCTGCCCCCACCCGGGACACCCCAGCAGTTCAGAGTTCCACCTTTTCGGCCGGTGCCCCCAGCACCCGACAACGTTGCACCAACAGCAGCTGCCGGAGGAGCCTCTTCCGTGAGCCTCTGCACCCAGCGGGCGCTTCCCAGCGGCGGGGCTGTGGGGCTCCGGGAGACTCTGGCCACACGCCCGAGGCTGGCATCAAGGGCACACCCCGCAGGGGAAAGGGTTTCCGGCGCTACCCACTAAGGCAGGATGGACGGTGGCCGGGGGTTGGAAGGAGAAAGGAGGAGGAGGAGGGTGGCAGTTCCCACTTGCCTGCTGCTGTCCCTGCTGGGTGGGAGGTGGCTGCGGGCCACCAGGGCCTGGGGTCTGTCCGTAGTAAGCGGCCTGCTGTCTGTAATACTCTGCCCAGGCAGCACTGTAGTCAGGCTGAGAGCCAGGGGGTGCTCCAGGACCCCCACCAGTGGCCACTTGCGCTGTGGGCAGAGAGGTCAGTGAGGGGCTGGCAGAAGCAGCCACTCCCGCCAGCAAGCCCTCTCCTGGCCCTCCTCCTGGCCCTCTCCTGGCCCCCAGCAGCTTACCTTGCTTCTTGTAGTATTCCTCCCAGGCCTTGGTGTAGTCCTGCTGTGGGGGTGCTCCAGGCTGCTGGGGCTGCTGGCCTGAGGAACAGGGTATTAGGGCAGCTGGACCCAGTGGGGTACACCCCACTGCCCCCTGGCACTGAACTTACCAATTTTCTTGTAATACTCTTCCCAGGCCTTGGTGTAGTCCGACTGGCCAGTGGGTGGAGGCTGGGGAGGCTCCCCCTGCGCAGGCGGGGCTGCGGGGGCTGGGGCGGGGCCTGGCACAGGCCCTGGGGGTTGCTGGTAGTAGTGGGAGTAGTAGGCGGCCCAGGCAGCGTTGGGGTCCGCGGCCGCTGCGGCAGCTTTGTCTACAGGAAGACATGCTGGTTGAAGGAGGCACAGCAGGTGGCCTGGTGTCACCCCCCAATTGTCTATGTGGTGCTGACACTTACTTGGGTCGTGGGGGGCAGGCGGTTGCCACTGGGGGTAGGTATTGCCCCAGCCCTGAGGCGGGTACTGGTGAGGAGGGGGGCCACCGGCACTGCAGGGGAGGAGAGGGAGTCAGGAGAGCTACTCACGAGTGTGGAAATGGAAGAAGCCCGACCAACACCTAGAGCTGGGGCTGACCCACAGGACGGAGACCCACACGAGTGTGGAAGTGGAAGAAGCCCGACCAACATCTAGAGCTGGGGCTGACCCACAGGACGGAGACCCACACGAGTGTGGAAATGGAAGAAGCCCGACCAACACCTAGAGCTGGGGCTGACCCACAGGACGGAGACCCACAGACTCAACACAGCGCCTCCTGTGCTTAAGGGGCAGGGCTGAGACAGACCTGCAAGCCAAGGAATACTCACTGTGGGGGTGCTCCCGGGGGCCCCTGGTTGAAGGGTCCAGGGTTGAAAGGCCCCATAGGTCCAGCAGGGCCTGGTCCTCCAGGGCCTGGTCCAACTGGGCAGAGGGGACCCTGAGGGAAAAAGTGGCAGCTGTGGTGAGCTGACCGGGGAGGGGGGCACCTTCACCAGCACCCCAGGGAACTAACTCACCTCTATCTTCTCTTCAATGAGCTGCTTTGCATGGTCAATCTGCTGGGGTGAGCCCCGGATGACGAACAACTTGAAGTTGGGGTCGCCATTGGGTGGCAGCTGCCGAGATATCTCCACAAAGGCGCCTGTCTGCTGGTTGATGGCCTTCACGTTCTCACCACCTGTGGGATCACAGCTAGTGAAAGGCTGGCAAGTGCAAAACCAGGCAGGGGAAGGGCAGAGTAAGAGGACTCACCTCGGCCAATGACCAACCCACACTTGTGGGTAGGAATGGAGAAGGTCATCTCCCCTCCAGGAGGGCCCCAGTTGCCTTGGCCTCGGCCCCGGCCCCTACCCCCAGGGGGCATGCCAGGTGCCCCTGGAGGACCTGGGGGCCCACTCCGAAGACTCTGGAGGAGGTCATTGATGATCCGGGCTGCATGCTCACACCGATCTGGGGGCCCCATGATGTGAGCAATCTTCTCGGGGCCTGTCCCGTCATCTGACATCCACACCAAGAAACAGTTACTTAAAGCAAAGCCAAGCTCCTGGACTGTGCCTCAGTTGGAGACCAGTTCCCCTGACTTGCTGCTGACATGTAGGCGGGCAAACAGGCAGCTTGTTTCCCAGAACACGCCCCCACCCCCTCAGAGTGGCAGCGCTAGTGTCCTCCCACCTTTGGGGTCCAAAGAACTAGCTAAGCTTGGGGAGACAATGGTTTCTAAAAAGCAACTGACAGGAACTGGATATCAGCTTTCTGCAGGCTCTGAGGGCCTGCAAGAGGTGGGGGCAACGGCAGTGCCTGGGCCAAAGTGGCACCCGCCCCTGACCTTGCTTGAACTGGATGCGAACTCCGGCATCATTCTGGATCTTCTTGATCATCTCTCCACTCCGGCCAATGACTACACCAACTGAATGCCGGGGTACAGGTACCTAGGAAGCCAGGAGGCACAGGGTCACCTGGTGTGCCCCTAGTTCTATCCTGTTCCTGCTGCCCATCTGTCTGGAGTGCCTGCACTCACATCAATGCCTCCACCAACTCGAGATCCGTACTCATTGCGGTCCCCAAAGCCACCCTGGTCACGTTCTCGGAGGATGTCCATCACCATCTCACAGGCTTGCTGTAAACACAACACATTGGACAGTGAGCACAGGTAAGTGTACTGCCCCAGCACCCACCATCTGGCACCTGTGGGGATCCCCCACATTCCTTAGAGAGCTGTTCACTCCAGGAAAAGAGGCTGAAGAGCTAAGGAGAGGCTGCTACTGGCAGCAGTCAGGCAAGACCCTAAGGCTGGCCTGACAGTGGAGTCTTCTGGAGACCATGCTGCCTGGGCACTCACCTGCACTTTGTATGGGTCCCCGATGATCCGCAGTGGCTTGTCCACATTTGTATTCTGGGAGCCATCCTGAATTAAAATCATCTTCACCCCAGCACGCTCCTGCAATGGTAAATGCCTGTCAGAAGTGGGCTCTGGCAGAGGCCCGCTGGGGACTGTGGGGACTAGTGCTCTGGCCCGTGCTGCCCCGCACCTGCAGCTGTTTGATGGTCTCCCCACCCTTGCCAATGACCAGGCCAGCCTTGCCAGCGGGGATCATGATCTCCTGCACTGTGCCATTCTGACCCCCATTGGCATTATCATGGAACTGTCCTGGGGGTCCTCCACGGCCTCTCGATACAATGTCATCTAGCATCATCTTCGCCTTCCTGAGGAGAGAACAGGGTGACCACTCAGTGTGCATATGGCGCACACTCAGTTCAGGGGAGCTATCTAGCGGGTGCCAAGGACCTAGGGCTGTTCAGGATTGAGAGGGGTGCCAACTCATCCACATAGCTCTAGGGATAGGTCAGGTAGGAGGGACACACATGAGTGCCACTGACTCCCGCAGGAGACCCAGCTGGGAACTTACTGGACAGACTCAGGGGCTCCAGTCAGGGACACACTGCGTTCAGGGAGGCCACCACTATCTGCAGAGAAGAAGAAAGGTTCAGTGCCCAGAGGGCTTCTGTAGGGACAGGACACTTCCAGGACAGCCTGCAACCCTCTCTGACAAATCATTTCACCCCTTGCCAGGAGACACCTGGAAGGCTGCCTTTTTTTTGTTTTTTAATTATTAGGTTTTTTTCCCTCCCCTTTTCTTCTTCTTTGTCTTTTGAGACAAAGTTTCTCTTTATAGGTCCTGGAACTTGCTTTGTAGACCAGGCTGGCCTCGAACTCACTGAGATCCACCTCCCAAGTGCTAGGATTAAAGGTGTGCGCCGCCCACCACCTGGCTAGAAGGCTCTTTTTAAAAAACTCAATGGGGAAAGATGAAACTCAGGAGGTAGACTAACAGAACACCACACTCCCATCACCATAGCACCATGAGGTCAAGGCAAGAGGATGGTGAGGGGAAGAGGGAGATTGCAGAGCAGCACCCAGGACCCTGGCTCAAGTCTGAAGGAGAATCCAAAGCACTCCTGTGTCAGAGTGGAGCAGATCCAGGCAGTCTCAGAGCCAGGCTGACTGCCATTCTGCTTTCTATGGCACTATTCTGCATCCCATGGCACTTTAGGTGACGGCATAGAGCCTGCCGCCTGGAGAGAGGTGCCTTCATGCCTAAGTCCACATTCCCCTAGGCCACCTCACAAGGGGTAAGGGACATGGTCAAGATGCTCATTGTCAACTCTGATGACCTGAGTTCAATCTCTGGATCCCATCTAATGGAGGGAGCCTGAGAGCAGCACAGACAGACAGGCTCTCGTCACCCTGAGAGCAGCTGAGCAGAGCTGACCTCTGACCTCCACGAGTGCTATGGCAGGTGCGCCCCCCCATAAAAGAAATAAATACAATACAAATACATAGTAGAGGAGGGCGCCAGCTACGGTGGCACCTGCTTCTAGTGGCAGTGCTGTGCACATGTGCAGCAGAGTCAGCTCTGCACCAGTCTCAGGCAACTTCAGATGGAGGGCCGTACCTGGTGAGATCTGGACTTTGCAGCCCGAGTCCTGCTGGATTTTGTTAATCTGCTCACCACCTCTGCCAATGACTGGGTGGGAAGAAAAGAAGGAAGGTGAAGGCTGAGTGAGGGGCACCCAGACCAAGGCTCCCCACCAGCAGTCCCCTTGGACACTACCACACAGAAGCCCCTTGGCCCCTACCCTCATAACAGGGACCCACACTCACTCAAGCCCACCATGCCGTCCGGGACCCTATACTCTTCTGTCATTGAGGTCCTGTGGGAAGAGACACTGACATCAGCCTCCAGCTGAAGAGAGACTCCAGCTCTCCTGGACATAAAGTCCTGACCCTCTGAAGCCCGAGGACTTCTGCT